ATATGGCTAGTTGTACTCTCTAATGTAATTGAGGTTCTGCTGTAAACTCTCTACCTAGTATACTTTAATAAAATCTCTATGCCAAAGAGGCTAGTTAAAAAAAAAAAAATTAAGTATTTACTAAATATTTTGTAAATACTTAGCAAATACTTTGACAAACTTCATGATGTTGGACCTTAAAGGATTTTTATTTACCTAGTTTAAAACCAACTATTATAAACATAAAGAAAAAACCTCTTTATAAGCACATCTTAGTAAAATTCTCTTTACAATCACACAAATCTTTATTTCAAAAAGTGTAATTATAGAAAGGTTAAACTGTAATTTTTTAAAAATTTGTAATCTGCATGTTACATCTGATCTTAAATTTTAATTGATTACAATACCCTAGCATTATAGTGCTATAGCACTATAAATTAAATCCTAAAAAACATTCTAAATCATAAAAATAGAAATTATATAATATAGAAAAAATATTCTAAACTCTAAAAATAGAGACTATATAATTATAAAAAGATTACTATTTTAAAATTTAGAATATATACCTATTTCAATTTACCAGTATAATATATTATGTATAGATCCCTTTGTAATACTGTAATTCTAGCCAAAACTTAGTATAATTCTAACTAAAATTAGGAGTAAGCTATATATACTATATATTAACCAAAATTACTATTAATAAAAGGAATATTAATGTAGTGCTATGGTGCCATGGCGCTACCCTTATGTAATCAGTTTATTAAATAAAAAAGTTTTGACATTGATGAATATAGTGCTATAATGCTACCCTTATATAATCGGTTTATTAAATAAAAAAGTTTTGACATTGATGAATATAGTGCTATGATACTATCCTTATGTAATTCATTAAATAGACTTTTGCTAGATGACATATTTTGATCATCCCTGATCTTTTGCTTTGTTGTTCTATATTTGCTTATTTTTTTCTGCATTTTACTTACACTTAGTTGTTATGCTACGTTATCATCTTACCTGCCCCTAATCTTTTGCTTAGTCGTTCTATATTTGATTATTTTTTTTGTATTTTACTTACACTTAGTCATCGTGCTATGTTATCATTTTATCCGCCCCTGATCTTTTGATTTTTTTCTGCATTTTACTTACCATAGTCATTGTGCTATGTTATTCATCCTATCCATACTTGTTTTTGTCCTATTACCTTAACTACACTTAATCTTTGCCCTATTTATATCTAAATTATGGAGGAACCTGAAGAACTCACTATTAGTAATGGTGCACTATCTATGGTTGCTGCAACTGATGATGTATTATACAATAATGTTCAAGGCGATTTTGTAGTTAATGATGTTCTATATAATAGCCAAGATGAATTTAATGTTATTAACGATTTTTTACATGGAATTGATCAGGATAAATATGAAAATGGCAATATGATGAACTTTGAAGATGCTCAATATGAGTTAATGGTAGTATATAATGATTGGCACCAAATAATTAGTAAAGGTGTCCAGGGGGTAGAATTGCAAATGAATATGATATTTCTTAATTGGGATCATGCGATGAAGGAAGTTGAAAAGTATGCGAAGAGGCAAGAATTTAGGTTTTGCTGTTATCACATTGAAAAATCAAATGAAACAATCTGAAGGCGCACATTAGTTTGTGAGCACTATGGTAAACCTGAAGCAACAAAGAGTAAGAATCCAGAAAAAGAAACAACTTTTAAGCGTATTGGGTGTACATGGCAAGTAAATCTTTCATGTCCAGAGAAAAACAATCCTCACAAAGTTGTATATGTTACAAAATTGATTGATGAGCATAAGAACTATGATCTTGATCGAGATTTTATTAAAGTATACTAGGTAGAGAGTTTACAGCAGAACCTCAATTACATTAGAGAGTACAACTAGCCATAT